TATATATATATATATATAAAAATAATTTGAGGATTTCTTCCACTATATTAACAAAAATTTAAGACTTTCTTTTCTATTTCAAAATATATTCATACTTTTAAAACCTCTGTAAAATTATTCTAGGGGACTTAAAATGTAGTTAGGAATGATACTTCCTGAAGACTTTTGAAGCGAGAACATCTCAGCTCTACACTCTAAAATCAAAAGCATTTCAGATACCACACATATCAAAAGTACTGAAATTACTGTAAGAGCTTTACTTTGTAGTTACACTGTAACTGAGCTTTTAAAGGAAATGTTTACACTGGAAACAGTTCAAGTTTGGTGCCGGCGTGTATATTTTTTGTTTTGATTTTGTATAGAAAAGCTGTGGCTATTTTAAATTAGTACAGATGCAATATAACAATGTTACTTTTGTTTAAAGTGTTAACATAAGGTTTTGCTTAAAATAAAATTTGGAGAGTTACTTGGGCCCAATCCCTCAATTATTAAATATCAAAACTTCCATTCACTTGAATTTTAATGGGAGCAGCAAACACATAGCTTAATCCTTCTTGGTATTTTTTTTTTAAACTACAAGTCTCAGAAGACATTATGTTAAGTTGTATTCACACTACTGCATGTTTTATGTACAGTATGTAGCTATATAAAAGGATCAGTAATGACCACATTAAAAGGGCAATAACTAGTTATATTAACACTTTAAAAAAATCTGTAATATATTCATGAAAAGCTGCATGCATCAGTGCTGTGCACCATGATACAGTCATAGCAGCAAATATAATTTCTGTGGAGAGCAGGGCATTTATTCAATTCTACATCACAACTACTATTTTACCACAGCAACCTTTAGGAGAAGTAAGTGAAATATACCAGAACTGCAAGAAGCATTTGTGTAGGGTAGGCAAATGCAAGCATTGCACACTGGAATTAACCAGACCATCAGGATTAACCCAGCTTACGCTCATGAGAAACAAAAACCAAAAACACTTGTCCCTCCTCCACCATCACAGTTTCTTTCACAACTCACAAGGGATCAATAGTTTTATACCTCACCTGAAAGCAGCACAAGCTCTTTAATGCTATGTAGAAAAACTGTTGCAAATTTTATGGTAGAACTGGTCATTCACTGAATGACCTACACTTGTTTTTTCTTTCAGATGTTCTTCCCATGTATTGATCAGTCTCATTCTTGCTTAGTTGAGATCTGACAAATTGCAAGTTTGAAGAATTTTGTCTCAAAACTCCCATTAAGGAGACTCCTACAGCTAATCCATCATGTAAGCAGATAAAAGTGTATGCACCCTTATTTATTTTCATAGGAAGGGTTTACCTTCAGTGCAATGCCAGGGAAAAAGATGAACTCATCAGAAAACATGTTCCGCAAGAAGTTGAAGCAGTTATAGATTTCCTCTGGGTAGGGGGAAGAAGAAAGATATAAGGTTAAGTATATATTGTTTATTTAAATCATTTGTAAAATAAGGGGAGGAGGGAAGCCTTCAGTGTAAGAGGTATCAGAGGGGTAGCTGTAATAGCGTGTATCCACAAGAACAATGAGGAGTCCTGTGGCACCTTAAAGATAACAGATTTATTTGGGCATAAGCTTTTGAGACAAATCTGACAAAGTAGAATTTTGCCCATGAAAACATGCACAAATAAATCAGTTAGTAAGGTACCACAGGACTCCTCAGTGTAAGAGGAAACTTCTAACAGGGCACTATTAACACAAATGTTTGGACAAAAAATATGAGCATGTACACAAAGTGATTCAACTTGAAATAGTATCATCTATATACTTCATGCAACTAATTTTACAAAAGGAAAAAGTTTATTATATTTCTGCAGCCCCCCTGAACATACAGTAACCTTTGTCAAACCAAGTATTTTCTGTTTAAAGAATGCTATTGCAAATGCTAAACAATGGAAAGTACTGACTGATACAGTATTTTTCTTCTTGCTTTTGTCAGTGAAGAGAGAACTTTAGAAGTAACTACACTCTTTGGGTGTGTCTACACAGCACCCTTACCTTAAAATAAGCTATGCAATTTGCACTACACAAACTGCATAGCTTATTTCAAGATAATTTTGAAATCGTTTATTTCGAAATTTAATTTCAAAATAAAGCACTATTTCAACAAATCCCTTAACCCTCGTGGAACAAGTATTACAGGGACACCAGAATAGCGTGCCAGTTATTTCAAAATATATTTCGAAATAAGATGCATTTAAAGATGTGGAATTGCTATTTCGGGATACTACTGGTATCCTGAAATAGCTCCGTTGTCTAGACGTAGCCTCTGGGAATAAATCTAGGATGCACGTAGTACTAGAGTATATGTACACACTCTTAGCTTATTCTGGCTGTTGAGATGTCTATGTCCATACTAAGCTATTCTATAACTAGTGATGTAAGAGACTAGTCGACTATCCAATAAGCAAAAGCTTATCGGATAGTTGACTAGTGATGCAACTAGTCGCTTTCTCCCCCTTGCTGCCTCTATTAGAACTTGCTACAGTTCAAAGGCAGAGGCGCCCTTGTAGACTAATTGAATAGTCGATGGAAATCCCATTGACTATTTGATTAATCTAAATTTAACATCCCTATCTATAACCATACTAAATAGCATTCCGACCCTACTAAAGAAGTAGGTTGTTTCAAATACTGTTCCATGTGACACAGCCGGGAATGTGGAAAACTATGTACACTGTTTGTTTGCAGAAGTCGGTCCTCTAAGGCAACAAGAAAAATGCCTGCAGAGTATCTGCTTTCAAGTCAGTAATATGTTGCAGATCAGTAATGTATAAATAATCTCAAGAATCAAGAGATTCACATTATCTCATCCCATGACTTAATAAATTGCATAAACATCGGCTGTCATTCTGGATACATCTGGACCAGAGGTATCCTGAAATAGTTATTCCACATCTTTTGAACCAGCCTGCTATTTCAAAATAGATTTTGAAATAATGTGCTTGCTATTCCAATGTCCCTGTAACCCTCGTTCCATGAGGGTTAAGGCACATTCTGGAATAGCGGTTTATTTTGCATAGCTCAAATTGCGTATCTTATTTCGACCTGCGGGTTCAGTGTATGTAGATGCAACCCTCCCAGAGGAATGCTGTAACATGGCTGTGAAAATGGCTTAGTTTTGTGCTAGTGTGAACAGGGCATTAAAAAGGCTGCAAAAATAGAATAAAATTACAAAATCTGATGCCAGTGGGCCTCAATTCTGAATGTTAGTGTAAATACTCAATCTGATTAGCACCCAGCACCATCAGCAGCAGTGTTCCCTCTAAACTGCATGGCATCAAAGCTTCATACGTGATTAAGTATCCTCACCCAGTCAGAGGCTCAGGGCTCCCTGCATGGAGCTGACTGACTGGGGGGGGCTGATAATCACCTGTGAAGCTGTGCTGCCACACAGTTTAGAGGGAACACTGATCAGCAGGGACTCTGACGGCATACTACCTCTGAAAGTCAAGCCAATGACCTTTATAATATGTTAATATTACAAAATTACCTTTTCTGAAACTTTGCGTCATCTGCAATGCTACTGCTACCAGAGATGGGCGCACAAACACATTTAGCAACTGGTTCCGGTATGCTCCACACATGAGGATGGAGAGGGCTTGTTTAAAAATAAGTTCTTCTGTTGCTCCATCCTCTATTCCCATGTCATTTAAAACCACCTGGCCATTGACAAGGCTCACAATGTTGGTGTGCAAGGCAAGACTGGATGTGACTGCTTTGTTGGCACAGAGATTATCTAGTAAAAAGATACAACACTCAGACAAACACTAATGGAAAAAGTAAGCACAGAATGTATATTACTTTTTTTTTTTTCAACCTATAACAATTTTTCCTCTATGAACACTTAGAATACTGTTCCAGGATGAACCATGTTGGGAAAAGAGGCAGAAGAAGCCTAGGTAGAGAATAATTTCAGGCATTCCTCAAACTATAACCTAGAGCAGGCCTGGGAAAAATACCCTCTGCAGGCTGGATCCAGCTCTGCAGTGATGACAGATCCAGCGTGTGGACACAGCAGGGAGCCTCAGCTCAGGCAAACTGCCTGTCTGTCCCTGCATGCTGCTGAGAGAAGCTTCTGTCAGGTTCTGTTTGAATAGCTGTGAGCCTTCATGTGCTGCTCCTGCCCCCAGCACAATCCCACTGGTCCATTTCTGGCCAGTGGGAGCTGCCTGTTGTCAACAAGCAGCTTGCGAAGCATCCTTTTCCCTCCCCCAAGGATTGTAGCTGTTAAAAAACCACATGGTACCTGCAGCCCGTGCAGGCATGGGGTAGGCAGGTAGTTTGCTTGAGAAGGCTGCTGATTGGGAGTCAAGCAGGTAAATCTCCCAGCCAGAGCCTGCCACTGGCTCCCCAACTTTTTGCCCCCCCCCATATAAACCAAACCTTTTGCCCCCATATCACCTCCCATATCCTGCACCCCAATCCCCTGCCTCAGGTCAAAACCCAAACCCTTGCACCCCAGTCCCCCGACCCAAGTTACAGCCCCCTCTTATCCTAAATCACAGCCCACACCCCTCCTCCACCAGATCACAACTCCATCTTGCCAAAGATCAGAACCCAAACCTCTGCACCTTAGTCCCCTAACCCAGGTCACAACAGCCAAACTCCCTCCCTGACCCCACGCCATCTCCTGCACTTCAATCCCTCACTGCAAACTCCCTTCTGCACCCAACCTCCATCCCAGACCCCTCACCTCCTCCATTGATATGGAAGAGTTTGGCCCTTGACCACTTTCCAAATTCTTGGAGCAGCCTCCCCAATCAAAAATTATTGCCCACCCCAACATAGATCTTATCACATACAGGAAATATGAAGTGGTCTCCTCCTCTCTCTGCAACTAAAAGGGGAGTAACTAATTTTCTGAACCTTTTAATCAGGAGCATAGGACTACATTGTTAAACAAGTACATTTCACTGCCTTGTTCACCACATTTATTTTAGATCTGCAAATTTACACTTAATTCCCATCTATTCCCACCAAACTAAAAGCAAAATTTGCCCCTCAGATCTGTATGGTTAATCTCAAATCAGATATTGTTCCATGCTGTATGTGCCAATACCACATTACTGTCAATGGGAGTTCTCCACACATAAGGAGAGAAAGTCATGCCAAAATCAGATGGATAAATATTTAAGAGGAGAATTTTGGTTTGAGACTTGCTCTCATTGCAAGTAAAGATGTTAAATTTAGATTAATCAACTAATTGAATAGTCAATGCAATTTGCTTCAACTATTCGATCAGTCATTAAGGGCACCTCTGTCTTTGAAATATAGCAAGAGCCTGCTAGCTCTTGCTACATTTCAAAGGTGGAAGCGCCCTGGGGAGCACAGGGCCAGCAGGGGACTCAGACAGTCCCCCGCTGACCCCATGCTCCCTGTGTGGGCTTTGCTTTTGAAATGTACAAGAGCCCTCTTTGGGACTCTTGTACATTTCAAAAGCAGGGAGCGTGGGGCCAGCGAGGGACTGCTTGAATCCACTGCTCACCCCCTACTCCCACAGCACTTCTGCTTTTGAAATATAGCAAGAGCCCTGCTAACCTCCCCTCTCCCCGGAGATGGTGCTGGGGGGAACTGGCTTTTAAGCCGGCTCTCCCCAGCACCAGCTCCTACTCCTCCCCCTTGCTGCCTTTCTCTGAGAGAGGCAGTGGGGAGGGGGATAGCAACTAGTTGAGTCACTAGTTGTTTACATCCCCAATTGCAAGTGGCTCATCTTTGTAAGTAGTTAGCAGTTAAACCCTTATGCCAGTTTAGTTGGGAGCGGGGTGAGGTGGGAGGGCAGAGTTTTCAAGAACCTGCTTATCTGTAATCTGTAAGAACATTAGATCAGAAAAATTTCCTTGAAGCAGTGATGTAAGGATAGGTTAAGCAAATAAGCCTGGTTAACTAAGTAGACTACTGCTACAAAGTATAAAGAAAATAGCTATTGAGAAGTAAGCTTCTTAGATACAACAGTCTTTCATAGTGAATCAGCTAAATAACTTTGGATAGTTTTGAAGTCTTCTGATACTGTAACCTTTGAATCAGATTAATCAGATCTAGGAGACTTGACAAAGTTTTCCTTAATTTCCACACACCACAAGATCCCTCACATTCACATTTAAACTAAAACAAATAAAAATGGGACCATTATTGTGTAAACACACTTACTTAGAGAGTTAACAGACTATACCCAAGCTCAAAGTTCTACTTGCTTCATAAGATATAACGCTGGCACACTTTTTCAAAAACAGGTTTACTGGGAATGCTATTCAACAACATAATGGAATGTTTGCAAAGCTAAGAGTATAGCAGATAGGAAAAAAATTAAGATAAGTACAGCCCAGTACTTGTGGTATGAGACCAAAAGTATACAGCATATGCAGAGTCTCTCCCACTCATGAAGCTTAGCTTGTGTTATTCTACTTGAATTAAAATATCTGACTAAATTAGATTAAATTTTATTTTATTTTATTCAAATAAAATAATAAAAATTTATTTATTTTTATTTCATAAATTAATAAATAAAATAAATTAAGTAACATTTTATTAAATTTATGTTATTTATTTAAATTTTATTGTAATTTGATTAAATAATCAAATTAACTGCTTCAAAACATTCTCAATGTAGACTAAGACAATATTCTTTGTTGGGCCAGAATATATTAACATGCCAGGGAACATCCAACAACTTTCAACTGAACATGAACAGGCAAAATGTACGATCATGGGACTGCATGCATGTTATTGACAGGACACTGAAGGGGTACATTTGTTCCTTTGCACTGAAGTTGCTAAAAATGGTGAGAAATGGTGAAGCAAGTAAGTTGTTTTGCAGTCCTATAACATAGGTTCTCTTACATGCAGGTACATCTCAACAATAAATAAGTCTACTGTATTACAAACAGCTAGTATGACCAATAAAGAAACAACTAGGAATTGAAGGTGGGGTTGGGTTGGAGAAGCACCATGTGGTTTATATAGACTACAAGCCACAGACTTTTAAGGAGTGTCCTAACCAGTTTTTACAAAAAGATGTTAACTACTTCAAATTAATAACTCAAAATTTAAAAAACCGCATGTGTAGCCATGTCAAGGGCTTATCTATGCCTTGGGGGCTGGGGTGGTTATACCAGTAGTGCTGTATCACCATGGCTATGCTGGCGTAATCTTGTAGTAGAGCTGGAAGGGGGTTTTCTGTTGCTGTAGGAACAGAGCAACAAGAGCTACACTGTTGGAAACATTCTTCCATCCCTCGCTGTGTCTACACTAGAAATGGTGGTTAGGTTAGCATCATTGGATCACTAGGGAATGATAATTTTTCATACTCCAGAAACATAGCTATGTAAACAAATTTAAGCATAAAGCAGGCCAACCTAAAATGCTTGGGCTTACAGTTTGACAATATAGGTTGCTTATTTTAACAGTAAATTTACAGACATTAGGAGGACCAAAGAGACTTCTCCTAGCAGACCCGGACCAGAGGATGAGTACAACAGGCCAAGCTAGGATCACTGTTTTTGATTGCTGTTCTGTTTCCAGGAATTTGCTCTTGGTGGCTCCTTATATGAAGAATCACAAGTCACATAAACCAGACCCCAAAAATATTGCTGATGTGCTGCGCAAATGCCTAGTTACCATCACAGTACCATGGGCTATTATATATATATATATATATCTCGAGTGTTTCAGATCACAGAATTTCAGACCACATCTGGAGGTCTGAAAGCTTTTGAAAAGCAACCAAGACATCCAAAGATACAAACGCCTAGCAGAGGAATTTATCAGAATCCAGAATACCGTATCATCAGATTATGGATAAACTGATGGGGGAGAGGAGGAAAGAGCAGGAAACTAAGAATTTGTGGATTGACATTTTGCAGCAATTTAGATTATCTGTTTTATTCTTGATGAACTACAGCCCTTGGAGGGAGGGAAGGACTTCAGAAGAGATTGTTATTGCTTAATATTTACATTATGGTACCATCTAGTCATGATGAGAGAGACTAGGTATTTGCTTCACTTTGCAGAAGTGGCAGCAAAACTTACTAGAGAGCTTATATAGAAGGAAATGTCTGTATGTTGGTACCCAGATGATACATACAACTAAGGTTAAGATTCTGCCATGGGTATTTTTAGTAAAAGTCAGGGACAAGTCACAGGCAATAAACAAGAACTCATAGAAGACTGTAACTTGTCCCTGACTTTTACTAAAAATACCCCAAATATCCCAGGAAAAGGGCAGAAAATGAGAGAAAGGACAGTCAGTGCACTGCCAGGAGCTGCTCCAGACCAGCTGCTGCCTCTGAGGCATGGGCTGAATGCTGGTTGACTCAATCCTGGCTCCTGCTCTGGCCTGCTCAGGGCCACAGCTCTGGCAGCCATGAGGCTGGTCATTGTTCAGCAGCAGCTGCTGCTGCTGCCTTGGGGCTGATACTTGCAGCAACCTTGCCCAGAAGTCACAAAGCTCCCAGAAAATAACGGAATCGTTGATCTCCATGACAGAACTGTATCTTTATTTATATACAAGGCCCTGCTAAAACTCCAATATTACAAACATTGCAGATCCCACAGCATTAGGCTTCCAACACAATTCTGTTAGCCACTCTGTCATGATCCCCTCCTATAAGCCCTGCGCATTCACTACTGTTGCAGCAAAATGTCTGGATTATTTAAAAAATAGCAGGCATAATACTTGAGTGTTTATATTGTTCCAGCAATTTTTTCTTAAACAAATAGGCCTACTCTGTCTTTTCCAAATTATTGCAAATAATAAAGGTCTATTACTTTTCTGCAACTTTTCCATGTCTTGTCTGCAACTCAGTCACAATTATCCTACAATACAAATAGGGTCTTACTTATAACCCTACTAAAACAACAATTCTTTATGTTTGCTAAATAAAACCCTTCAAAATGCCTACATTTGTAGTATTCATTTCACTGCAATAAGACTATTGGCTTGGTTAGGGACATGCACCATTCAAGTCATTATTTTTACCAGGTTTGCAGATGCAGACCTACTTACAACACTGCAAGCATCTGTAGGGAAGAGAGATGATTTTGTGATTTACCAAGTTTTGTTACACTGTAGTAGGTCTATTCCTTTCCTGCAATGTATAGAAATATTCCTCCTTTTGATTATGTACAAACGATCACTAGGAGAAAAGACCTGTTTGTACTATAATTTATATATAAATGTAAATGAAATTTCTTTAGGTATGTATATTACTACTTATACACTGAAGAAAGAGACTGGATTACCTTCATCTTCTTGGCTTGCATAGCTCTCAGTGACTCCCTATATGAAGTATCACAAGCCACATTAAAGACAGTTTAAATACAGAGAATGCTTCATTTAAAATACTGGTCAGGAAAGAGAACCCAGTGGCAAGCATAAAAGCTCTAAAACTATGGAATAGGAGAAAAAAATAAAAATCAAAGTTGTAACGTGATCTTTTGTGCATGTGTTGGGAGGGTTCTTGATTGCAGGTGACAATTGTATTACACTGGATATCTAACTACAGAGTTGCTGTTGCAGCTCAGATATGTTCTGTGACTTGGGTTTTCAAAAGTTAGGATTTGTATAAAGAAAAAAAATGTTAGGCAAATTTAAGCACTAATTTAATATAAATTGTACTGTGGTTTCTCTCCCTTCTCACCTCAATGTTCCGTCTCCATACAACTGGACTTTCAGTCCAAATCTCTTATCATTACACCTGGCTTTTAGTGAATCCTAGAATCCATAGGCAAATACTTACTCAGTAAAACTCCTTCTTACATACAGCTTTAACATAAATAAAACTCACTTCACAAAGTAACTTTCCTTAGCGAAAGGAATATAACTTTCTCTACATACCAGGCCACTCGAAGAATCCCCCAAACACCTGCGTTATGCCTTTCAGCCAAAGTGTCTTTTCAACGAGAACATCAAAATCTATGGCTGGCAAATTCTGAAGCAGGACAGAAGCAATTAATACCCAGGGGCTCAGAACCATATTTTCTATCTGTAGAAGCTCCATTTTGTAGGCTACATCAGTAACAAATTCCTGGATATCCTCAGATAGCCTTTGGGGAAGATGCCTGAAAGGAAAACAATATAATACAATACAAGAAGAACCTGTACATCATCAGATAAGTAATATCCTAATCCCATTAGTCCTGTATTGTACCCATATGTATGTTCTCTCAACTAAACTTTTCTGCCCATTTTACGCACAGTAAAGCATCTAACACACTTTGACAATTATACCTATACATGCAAGTCATGAGACCTAAATTATGAATAAAGCCTCCAGATATAAGAAGAATTACATAGTGTTGTTAATATTACCAAAAAAATCATTCAAAACCTTCCACCTTATTGAAGATTCCAAAAATACCACACAGTATGAAAATATATTGATAATGTGCATTATTTGCTTGCTCTATAGATAGGGATGTTAAATTTCAATTAACCAGCCAATTGAGTAGTTGGAATTTCCATCAACCACTTGAATGGTCGATAAGAAGTGGGGTAGGGCACTCACTATCTCAGCTGTGCCTCTGCCTTTTAAGTGTACTAAGAGCTGCCCCTGGCTCTTACCACATTTAAAAGGCAGAGGCAAAGTGGAGAACCCTGGGCAAGTGGGGACTGCTTGAGTGCCTGCTTGCCTGGGGTTCCCGCTGCACCACCTCTACTTTTGCAGGTCTCTTGCTACATTTCCAAGGCAGAGGCACAGCAGTCAGAGTGGCGTGAGCTGGGATTGTTTAAGTCCCTGCTCACGCTGTTTCTCAAGGGTGCATGGAGCCCATTGGGGTTCCTTGTGTGGGCTGCGAGACATTTTGTTTACCATTGCCCAAGCACAGGCTTGTCAGATTCTGCTGGTCTCCATTCACAATTTATTTTTTCTTACTGACATAACTAAAGTGACATGCATGTAAACCAAGGGCACGTGAAGTGAGGTGCATGCTGATTGCACACAACATTCACTGTGAAAACCGTGTGCTCCCTCTGAATCTAATCAAAGCACTGCTATGATTCAGTCAGCAAAACCCGCACATTCTAGGTATGCAAGTGCAGTTAGTAAAACTATACTATCCCAGAAGACCATTTTGGTTACCATGGTCTTGCGGCCCATGAGATGGAGGGCCACTCATGTGGTTCCTTCATTAGCCTAGGTTACCTATTACTGCTCTAAATGCTTGAAGTTAAAGTTGGTTTGCAAAGAGAACACAGTAAATTTACAGGAGTTGGCCTGAGGTTCCTTCTGCCCTGTGCAAAGTAGAAAAACTTTCCTCATCACAGCCACAGTATGTCCTTTCCCAGTGGGGTCTGGGAGGGAGTTTGGGTGAAGTAGACAGTTATGACCTGGGGCAGTGGACTGGGGTGCAGGAGGGGGTATAGGGGTTTGGGTTGTGATCTAGAGCAGGGAGGGTTGTAACCTGGGGCATTGGGCTGCAGGTCTGGGGAGGGAGTGCAGGGGTTTGGGTTGTGACCTAGGGTTGGGGATTGGGGTGCAGGATGTGGAAGGGGGTATGGGTGCAGGAGGGAAGGCAGAGGATTTGGGTTATATGGAGTGGTGGGGCAGAGGCGTGGAGTGAGGGAAGAGCTGGGGTGCCAGAGTCAGGCTCTGGCTGGGAGACTTACCTGGATGACTTCCAGCCAGCAGTCCAGCAGGTTTCTCAGGCAGACCCTCTGCCTTCCATGCCTCTGCACTGGCTGCAAGGGCCATGTGCATCTGTGAATAGCTGCGAGCCTGAGGGGAAGGGGCAAGAGGTACTTTGTGTGCTGTCTGTTCTTCAAACAAGTAGCTTTCATTGCTTGGAAGCCAGTCAATGGGGTTGTGCTGGGGGTGGAGGCAGCATACAAAACCTCTTCTCCCCCAAGCTTGCAGCTGTTCAAAGACATACAGAACTCTGCAGCCACTTTTTTGAGCAGTGTGCAGGGACAGGGCATGCAGGTAGCCTGCCTGAGGCTCCTGGCTGGCCCACGGGCTGTATTTTGCTTATTCTTGATCTAGATGGTGAAGATAGTACTTGTATTATGCACTATTGTGGGGATTCCTTCATCCTTTGCCCAAGAGGTTTGCAGTTAAAAGTGCCTATAAATCTCCAATGGCACATGTATTTGTAAGGGAAGTTGACAGGTGGGTAAATAGTGTTTATTTATTAAAAGAATTTTTCCCCAATAAAAACTTGTTTAAATGTTAATCTGTTAAGGCCTTAATGTATTAGAAACTCTTAAAACACTGAAATAGAAACTAGCTATGCTGAATCCATGACCTTTACCAAACAGCCTGAGATAAAGGCTGCTTTTCCTATATAAAGATAATCGGGGGTATGTCTACACTACCCCGCTAGTTCGAACTAGCGGGGTAATGTAGGCATACCGCACTTGCAAGTGAAGCCCAGGATTTGAATTTCCCGGGCTTCATTTGCATAAGCGGGGCTCCGCCATTTTTAAATCCCCGCTCGTTCGAACCCTGTACCGCGCGGCTACACGCGGCACGAACTAGGTAGTTCGAACTAGGCTTCCTAGTTCGAACTACCGTTACTCCTCATTCCACGAGGAGTAACGGTAGTTCGAACTAGGAAGCCTAGTTCGAACTACCTAGTTCGTGCCGCGTGTAGCCGCGCGGCACAGGGTTCGAACGAGCGGGGATTTAAAAATGGCGGAGCCCCGCTTATGCAAATGAAGCCCGGGAAATTCAAATCCCGGGCTTCACTTGCAAGTGCGGTATGCCTACATTACCCTCCTAGTACGAACTAGGAGGGTAGTGTAGACATACCCGGGGGAAAATACCTAACTTTTAAGGTTAAGCAAGGTCATGTACCATATCAGAGGCTTAATCCTGTGGAGGATGCAGGCGTTGTGCTTCTGGGTGCAAGAAACTGGCAAAGTCATCCCCAGCATTGGGACCTGCCCTCTGACTGCAGGAGACACCATCATGTATCTCAACAGGATCATCCACTGAGCCCACTTCACTTACTGACAGCTCTCAATGGCAGAGCTCTGGATTTAAGAGCCTAGCATGGCACATACATGACTAATCTTGAATACGGCACTCAATGATATTCACAAATAAAGCATCAAATAATGAGCTTCTTCAGAAGTACCTCATCACTTGAGTCACCACCGCTGACTTTAAGAGAAACAAGACTGAGCTGCATGAATAGTCAGATCAAGTAGAGGAAGGAGAAAGAACGAATCTGACCTGCTGACACCATGGAGATGAAAAGAAAAATACTATTCCCAGCCTTATATGACTCTTTTATATGAGTCAAAGACAAAACAAAAATGAACAAGTAAGCAATAGATTTGAATCCAAACTATTAGGAGAGCAGATGTTCTGGTACCTTGGGACCAAGTTATAAGGGCACCGATTGATTCTCCCAGATGCCAATGTTCTGAGCGACACAGGCTGCCCAAAATACACATGTATGCTTCCAAAATTGTCACTGAGGATTTTTCTGGCTTTCAACAACCCCTGAAATGTGGAGAGGAAGCAATGCGAGTTGATATTACAAGGATATATAGAGAGCCAGATACACTACATTATTATTGAACATATTTACATACAGATGTAGACTCTTTTGGCTTAGGGACTCCTAGAAGTTCATATGCATAGAGGGATTCTTCCAATATCCTCTCATAGCTGATGCTGATTGGAACAAGGTAGGTGTCAAAAACTTCTCGTTTAAAAAATGGCTCCATCACAATACTGAGAAGACCTGTAAATAGATGGGAGAGAAAAACATATTTATGGTCTTCTGGAAATGAAAGGAAATTAAGATGAACTGCAACTGAAAGGGGACATCTGGTTGTGAATCAATACACAAAAACTATGTTATAAGATATGCAACGTGTTCACACTATGCAAACGCACGCATATGCCAAAATTTCTGTCTGTGCTTTAAAGCAATGCACATGAAAATGTTACATTTAATCCAATATCTGAGCAGTATTTACACAACAGTGCTACTGCTTTGCATTCACATAGTATCTTCCATCCAGTGCTTCCCCAACATTTGTACAAACGTAAGTTAAATGTCATACTTCTGTGATGGTAGATAACTGTTATACCCATTTTGCAGATAGCAAGCAGGGAGAGGTTAAGTGCATCAGGTCACATAGTGATGCTGTGAAAGAGCAAGGAATGGTGCTAAGGAATCTTGTACATTTTTATAATTTATATATCGGTACTATCTGGCAGCCTCAGTTACGACTGGATGCAGAGGCCAGTGCACGGCTTCCACAGTCAATGTTGTGTGCAATCAGCACGCACCTCAGGATCCCATCATGTCAGGCAGCATACAACACAACACTAACTAGTAGAGTAGGCTGGTCTGGAGACCTGCATTACGATGTGTGATGTCTTGCCATCTGGAGGATAGAGATGTTAAAAAGCAGGGGGGGTTGTAAACATCTAACCAGTGAAATTTTCAGCAATTACATGTTTACACACAAGGTGGGGAGGAAGACAGCTCCATGGGAGCTGGTGTGAATGGGGAGCCGACTTTTAAGGAGCCACCTGCTCCCCTCTCCTGTATTGCTGCTGCTATATCAGAGGCAGCAGCATTGAGGGGCAGGTAGGAACTGGTGCCTCCCCTATCTGCACTGTATCAGAGGCAGCAGTGCAGAGCTGGTGCTGGCAGGTAGCATGCTTAAAAACCAGCTTCCTGTGAGCACCAGCTCCCCACCCCCGGGTGCCTCTGACACATAGGCAACAGGGGAGGCCTTGCATGTAACCATGAGGGTTAACCAATGAGCCCAGGCTCATTGATTAACCGTTTAAACAAACGCACTAACACATCCCTACTGGAGGACCATATTACCTCTGTATTTGGCCCACAGAGATGCCACGCAACTACACATGGTCACTGAAGATGTTGGTCCACCTTGCCATCTCTCCCATGTTCTACTGTTTTGGTTCTCCCTTCCACCTCCAGAAACACAATAAGGTACTCTAGTGAAAATCCCCAGATTAAATAAAGATTTTAACTTTTTCAAGCAACGTACCAAACTTTGGAGTCAAAGTCTTTGAAGTGCGGCTTCTAGTTCCTTCGAGAAAAAATTCAATTGGGGCATAGCCATTCTTCAAAACAAAACAAAAAATAAGTTGATGGGGGGAAAGGGAGGCAAAAAAAAAAAAAATCAGTATTTCATTTGCTCTCTTTACATTGTAAAAAGATTTATTTTAAAATAGGAGCCATGCACCCTTAAACCTACATTCATTCAACACCGCTAAAACAGTCTATAGTCAATTTAACTAAATAAAGTTTTTTGCACTAATGTATATTTCATAAACACATGCACCAGCAAGATCAACTAATTCTTTAAATGTACTTTTAAAAAAATTGTTCAGTAATTTATTTACCCTTAACATTGTTTTAACATATTCAGCAAAAACTGCCCAATAGAGCCTGTTCCCACCGAACGAACGTCGCATAAAAAAGGCACCTGACCTTCGTAGCAGCTCACCAACTATTTTCATTCCGAGGAAATCTGTGGAGAAAAAAAAAACAACACACAAAACTTATTGATGGACTGCGCCACTTAATACTAATCAGTTTCCCTAAAGCTTTCACCTCAACTATTGGCATAAAGGACTAATCCTTTGGGGATTTATTGTAAATATTCTCTATTACTTTTCAAGCACAATACACACACACACAACCTACACACCAGGGGGTCAAATTTATGATTTCTGCATTTGTATATTGAAAGGGGCACTTACAATCCCAACGATCTCTTCTGAAATTTAGATGACAGACTTAAATTTGGTCCTTGTTATATTGACTCAAAGTCCATAGTAGTTTCAGACTTGGTCTATACCAGTGGTTCCCAACCTGTGGTCCACGGATCTCTGGTGGTCCGCGACAGTACTGCAGGGGGTCTGTGGAAAGTTTAAAAATAAGAATTTTCTTTTTCTTTCCTTACTTTTCTTTTCTTTTTTTCCCTCTCGTAGGGAAGAGGGTGTGGGGGGCGGGGGGGGGACTGTGAAATTTTAATAGATTGAAAAGAGGTTTGTATACTCAAAGAGGTTGGGAACCACTAGTCTATACTATCAACTTATGCAGCATAACTACGTCGCTCAGGGGTGTGAATTTTCCATGCCCCAAGTAACACAGTTATACTGACTGAACTCCCCATGTACACAGTAGGGATTTTAGATATTGGGTAATTGAATAGTTGTGTAACCACATAAATCTTAGCTGTTACATGACTATTCTACTGGCCCAACTACCAGGGATCCCCCTGCACCTCGTGCTGCTGCCTATCAAAGGTAGCAGCGTGGGGTGGCAGGGGGAGCCGGTCCGCAAGAGGAGACAGTTTAAAAACCAGCTCTCCTTGCAGACTGGTTGCTTTTGCCTCTGATGCAGAGGCAGTCACTTGGGGTGGCAGCAGCCTTTGTCATAGGGGATCTTGAACCCCCATGGACAGGGGCTGCTGCCGCGAAGCAGCCTCTGCCCGTGGCAGGCCCAGGCTCACCATGGACAGAGGCTGCTCTGAGGGATGTTGCTTGGTCCCCAGCAGACAGGCAGCACTGCGGAGCCTATCAGAGGCACCATGGGAAATGCATGTAGTCAACAAGATTAACCAATAAGACTAGGATTATTGATTAATTATATAGTTGACTACATGCTGACATACCTAGTACACAGCATCTTTGGGGAGGTGGAGTACCCATGATAACAGAAAGTACTTCTCCCTTTAGTGTAGGTTGCATCTTCATTAAGCATTCCAGCACCTCCACTGTAATGCTGTCAATGTGGATAAGCCCCCAATAATCTTGAGAGTAAACAACATGCCCATTTAAATATATTCTAAAAAAAATACACAGCTGATGTAAGTTGGCCTACCTTTATTCAAGTTAGGGATGTCAGATATTGATTAATTCAATAATCATGTAACCACACAAAATCTTCGCAGTTACACATTACTCAATAGTCCCTGGGGGCAGGGCCGGCAACCAGTGCACTTCTGGTCCCACTCCCGGGGAGCCCCCTGCCACCGCACATTGCTACCTCTGATACAGAGACAGCAGCATAGGAGAGGGGGGAGGCGGCTCTGCAAGACAGTGCCCGGGGGAGGGGGAAAGCTGGCTTTTAAGTCAGCTCCGCCCCTCAAGCACCAGCTCCCACTTGCCTCACTCCCCCCCCCATTTCTGTGAGAGGCAGCAAGGGAGGGGAGGCAGGTGGCTCCGTGGGTTTGGGTGCTCATGGGGAGCCCCACAGACACTGGTTCTGGCCTCCCCACACTTGCTGCTTCTGATACAGAGGTAACGAGGAGGGAGGAGTGCGTGTAGTTGATAGGATTAATTGACAAGCTCAGGCTTATTGGTTAATCATTTACTCGACTATACGCTAGCATCCCTAATCCAAGGCAATGAAACCATGCCCATTTACAATAGTTAATGTCTGGCTCAACGCTCTATGAGGAAGGGAAAATAGAAACTCAAAAAAGTGCAACTGTTACGTTTCCTAGTTTCGAGGACTCAGGATTACCCATCTATGAGGAAGGGAAAATAGGAACTCAAAAAAGTGCAACTGTTACATGTTTCCTAGTTTCGAGGACTCAGGATTACCCCTTTCTGGATTTTACAAGTAATTTAGAATACTTGCATTATAACAATGAATAGTTTGGGGAGCCATATAATGCAGGAAAGTTTCAAAAAAGTCTGATTTCTTCGATTCTTGGATCTTTCTCTGATTCACTGTGCAACCTTAAAAGATCCCCAAATATAGTGGATGTCGAAGTCAGTAAATACAAAAGATACAGTTCTAAGAGCAACATTAATTTGGCTGCTGTGAATATCTTGTTTAACTGTATAGTACAAAATAGAATAATTTATGATAAAACTCATTAAACTACATACCATTAGAAACTCATCTAATCTATATTATGGTGCTATAAGAGATTTAGGGTGCATTCATTTTGGTCTAACACTACTCCCATTGCTTCAGGGAGTAGCCAAGTTAGCCTGTACAGAAAAAAACAACAAATGATCCGGTAGCACTTTATAGACTAACAAAACATGATACCATCTGCATGTTTTGTTAGTCTATAAAGTGCTACCAGACCATTTGTTGTTTTTTTCTACTCCCATTAACTTCAACAGAAGGAAAGTTAAGCCAATATAGAGTACCTCTGAAAACTTCATAAGACAGTACAACAACTATCATGCAATGATATAAAGTAATATAAAGTAATTGCCACATCTACAGCACCTTGCATGTGAAAAATGCAAAGTTAAGTCCCTAAGACTGACTGGTATCTACTGATGTACTGAAAAGTGTATACAGTAATAAGGTCACAGCTAAAGCTGGTTGAAAATTCTTTGTTGGAATGTTTTTTTCTGCTGGAATGCTACTTCATCAAGAGCAAAACTTTCTGAAATAAATATGTTGATTTGACAATTCTTAACAGAAATCAGAAGAGGTTTTCAATTAAATCTTAAGTGGTTCCCTTCCAGCTCACCTTTCTCCTCAGCTCCCAAGCAGCCTGCCTGTTAAGCTACCAGGAAGATGAAGTTTCCAGTCCCTTCACAGTTTGCTTGTTGCAGAGCCATGGCTCCCAGCACTTCCAAGTTCCTTCCTCCTCCTCCACAGTTTGCTCGCTTCCCTGGGCTTCCCAGACTTCCAGCAACTCATCTAGAGAGCTACTGTGAAGTTTCATGTCCTAAGCTCCCTGCCTCCTCTGCAGGTCACTTTGTGGGCTGCTGTGGAGGCAGAGCTCCCAGACAACTTGGAATTTCATGTGTGTAAACATTTTCAGGATTTTGGATTTTCATCACAATCAGAGATGAAATTTTTTCCAAAACCTCATTTTTCTCAGGAGCAGTTAACATCTTGCACAAGGTGCAAGTCATGTCACAGGATCAGATGCTTACGGTGGCACTTAAAAAACAGCTGCACACAGCACATCTAACTGCAAATAGATTCATGAAATGTTCTCTTGGCATATATGCAGCTGCCAGTAATCAATCATACCTAATTCTCTTCCTCCTCCAGACCAATTCCCGCCTCTCCAAAAAGTTGTACACTTCAATAAGTCATATTCACATATCATGTTTCAAAATCCAGACATTTCAATTATCTACATGTATAGGGAAAACCATGGCAACTTTGACTGACTTTCCCCACTGTTACTGAGAAGCGCAGTTATTGGGGGTTTGATCAAATGTGCTATACAAAATTTCACCATTTGGCAGACACATCTGCCCAAATTACATTTTCCAGAATCTCAACCATATGAAAATGGAGGGTTATAGCAGAAACTATTTCAACCTTAATGTCAGTAGATAGTACCAGGCACCTCCTAAAATAATCTCTCTGCATTTTGAAAAGAGATTGTGAAAAGAAATACTTGCCCATTCCTGCAGCAATGACAGGCAGAGCCAAGTCATAAGTGTATAATAAATAAGATAGCATCAGAAAATCTATATAGCTTCGGTGACTGGGCAGCAGGACAACTGGATGTTCCTGAATGGCCTGTTGTAACTAAGAACAAACACAAACAATATTTATGGGAATCACTTTAAATGGAAGCGATCATTACAAATTCCAACAAGATCTCAGAGAAGAATGTGGTTTTTTTTAAGACAACATTGTAACAATTTTCATTAAAGGGTGGCACTTATGTTTATTAGTATTCTGTACTTCTTCCAGCTTTTGCTGACAGACAACGTGAAGCTACAATTAAATCTTAAAATATTAACACTGGACCTCAAACCAATCCAGAGTTTCTCGAAGTAGAACTCCCTTTTAATCATAAATTTAGTAAGACCACTAGATAGTGGGAGATAGGTCACAAAGAACTGCCGAAATCTCACACGTGTTCTGATTGCCTTAATGAGGTACAGCAATTCAATATTTTATTTTTGGGGGCATTCACACAATATATGGAGAAACATGACACTTAGTTTATATTCCTTCAAGCACCTCTCTGAAGTGTTTTAATATATTTTGGAAATTTACCGAGTTATCTATTTCAATTATATTTACCAGTGAAATTCTTTCAAATCCATATTGATGAGATGGCTTCTTACTGTCTCAGGCATACCATATACCCAACACCATAAAGTAATTCCAAACAGGTTCCCATGTTCCTGTCATTCACAATTCCCATTCTTTAGGGCTTATAACAAGGTTCCACTTAATTATGTGTCCAAACTTTTAGAACTTCTCTTTGTTATTTCCTACCTCTAAAGGTAAATTTAAAAATGGGCTTATGCCTTAAAAAAAAAAGAAACAAAAAAAAACTTTCTTTCATAAAGTTTCCCCATCCCTCAAATGGCCCAGAGAACTTACTCTTATGCTATTTTATTTTAATTTAACTAAAATTCAAGTCCTGTTTAGCAAGACTCTATACTGACCAGAGAACAAATGAAATGGTATTATCACAAGAGAGTGAAAACTGAACAATTGTCCCTGTGTTTTGGTATGTAACTTCAAAGGCTAATTAATACTTTGGAGAAAGGTTTAGTGGGCAAAGACTCACTTCATCAGATGCTTTGCCCACAAAAGCTTATGCTCCAATAAATCTGTTGAGTCTATAAGGTGCCACAAGTCTTCTTGTTGTTTATGCAGATCCAGACTAACACAGCTACCCCTTGCATATCTGGAGAAAGGAAATCTTCAATAAAGATTACTCTGACCGCTTCAGTAAATGCATGCACAAGCTCACACACAGCTTCTGAGCCTGCCAACAAGATCTTGGGGGGAAAAGGGCAGAAAGGAAAGACCAGACTTCACATTCTTTGTATTTCCAAGGTAAATCACCACCACCACTACAGTAAAACTCTGATGGTCTGGCATTTGATGGTCCGGCACTCCTGATGGTCCGGCACCATCAGGAACCTGGAAGTGCTCCAGGCAGCTAGACCATTGGAGCTGCTCTGCCCCCACTGCTAAAACTGACCAGCGGCTAAATCGGGGAAGCTGCGGGCAGAGCAGCTGGAGTGCTGCCTGGTAGGTCCCGTAGCGCTGCCCCTCGGGGCTGCAGGGTTACCGGGTTGGTCCCACAGCGCTGAGGAGCGGCGCTACCGGACCAACCCGGCAGCATTCCAGCTGCTCTGCTGCAGGCGTCCCCGATTCAGCCACTGCTGAAACTGACCAGCAGCGGCTGAATCAGGGACTCCTGGGGCAGAGCCGGACTATCAGGAAGGAGGGC